GGGGGGGGGCGAGGGGGGCAATATTCAATGGCATAACAAGAGAAGCCCTGGTGCTGATGAATGAAGCTTTGATAAGGCGTCATTTTCACTACAGAGCATGAAATGAAACTTTCATAGCATCTGGTTTAAGTGGCTGAATTCTTGTGTTATGTCGTGAGAGACTATTAAGACACGGTCAGTTCCTGCTTTCAGACTATTGCAGATGCTGGACCGCATCACTAAACGCCGGGTCTCCTCTTTCTGTGTTCCTCTGCAGGTTGAGGCACCAGGCACACAAGGAGCTATACGCATACAAACAGGTAAGGGGACACCGTCCCACGTCGCAGTAAGGTGACAGGTAGACATGCCATCCCTTAATGGCTCACAGGAGCACTGGCTGTGCTTGGAGCAGGAGTTTGAGGTCCAGCTCCTTCAGAGCCCTGTCCAAGAAGCAGTGTAGTGTGTTTTAGGTCAGCCAGTTAAGTCTATTAGGAGATCACTGATAACGCTGAGGCCAACACAGGCCCAGACAGACCTGAGAAGTTCTTCTGAAGTCAATCCCCACTTCTCACCCTCGTAGAAGCATGATGCAATCAAGCATCTCATGACTGTGTCTTGTTCCTCTGTACTGGAGCATCACGACACCAACAATGATGAGCGAAGGGACATGAAGGCCACCCCCCCCAGAATAAATGGAGTGATGCGTGGGGTGTTCCCTTACATACTGAGGTGTTATGCAAGCCCCCTCTGCAGAAGGTGGACAGATGGCGTGTGTCACCGTATCTCCCTGCAGTCTTACTGCCAAACCCAACCCAACTGCGCCAAAACCTGGTTCCTGTCTTACTTAAAGTCAGGCAGTGGACGGAAATATCAAGAGACTAACAATTGACTGCGATATTCAAACCCAGTTAGTCCATGTTGAGCCCTTCCATGACCCTGCTACCCAGAATCTTCAAATCTGGTTGCTAACTTCATGCTCAACCTTGTTGCAGAGCTTTGAAAGTGTGTGGTAAGTCTGTCTGTTAAAGGAAGTGTGTAATTCTGACCCAGTTCTTGTTCTTGTTCTTCTGCAGGTCATACAAAAGGAAAAGGTGAAAGAACTAAATCTGCATGAGGTAAGCGAACCAGACAGGTTTTTCTCCCCAACTTTTGAGTCTCACCCTGGTACCAGCCAGCTTCAAATTTGGTGTTGTGCTCAGTATCTGTTGGGTCTTAGGTGTCGCCTTCAGTCTTCAACTGTTCGCCAGCTTCCTGTTAGTGGTCCTGTCGCGGTCGTGAGTTTTAACTTCTCGTGGCTTCAAAAGAGAAGTTGTACGTGTGGTCTGTCTAGTGAAAACATGTTCAATACTTTTGGGTTTCTTTGATCCCCACTTAATGACCTCAGTGTGAGTCTGGGCCAATCAAAGCGCAGCAAATCAGTTTCTCCATCAGGTGGATTCCTCGCATTTTTCTGAGCTACTTGTGCTGCTGACACAGTAGCTCTGCGAATCTTGCTAGCGGGATGCAGTCAGTTAATTCCAGCTATTAAAAATTTGTCCTGTAGCATCAGTATCTCTGATGGGTACCAGGTACTCTTATTTAGGAGAGAGCCTGTTCCTCAGCACAGGCCTGGTTCTCAGAGGCTTCCTGTTGGTCCTCCTTCCTGTTGGTCCTCCTTCCCGTTGGCCCTCCTTCCCGTTGGCCCTCCTTCCTGTTGGTCCTCCTTCCTGTTGGTCCTCCCTTCCCAGGCATCCCTGTTAGCCCACGTCCTTGTTTCTTACACTCCTGCCATGACCTCTACTCACCTAGCGGGTCCTTGCTAATGAAACGCTGTGGGAAGTACTAAGGTGTGAGCCAGACCACCTTCCGCCCCCACGCCAGCTGGAATGCTCCGAAGGCGCTCCCTTGTTGGGCCTGGGGGGTGCCAGAAAGTACTGGAAAGAACCGGACCTCAGGACGAAAAGCACTGCAGGTCCTGCCAGCAAGGGCATTTTTAGCGACAGTCGCTTTGGGCTCGGAACCAGCAGATGGACCGAAATCCCTTCAGCAAGCAGGATCCACTGCATTGATTGGGTTTTTGCAGAGCAGCCAGAGTGCTTTTTAGCAAGGGGCCCGAGCGGCACTGGAAGGACCACATAGTTTCAGTGGATGGAAACTGAAATCCGTCCAGTGAGAAACTACTTCCACTTGGCACACAGCTGAGCCGTCAGACAAAAACATACTAGGTTACTCTACACAGAGTACCTGTGCCACGGGACACAGACTACATTTTCTAAGCCCACTCTCTGCTTATCAGTTGTCTTAAATCATTAAGCTGTAGACTGTGCAGCTCACACACAGTATGAACATTTACGTTTCCAGGAGTCGGTGATGCTGGGTAGGAATCTCGATGGTCCACCCATTACTGACTCATCTGCAGTTACTTTAATTAATTCTTTAAACCACATAAGTAGAATTTAGGTCAGTTTCATATCTATTATTTCTGGGATATTCCAGAAGTGCTGTTTCACTTTCTCTTTGCGATTGTCCATACAGCCCTAGAATGTCTGCAATGTTGCTGTTCAATTTGTAAACCACGCGGGAGCAAAAGAATTGCTGGAATCCCGTGACACAAGCGTCATCATACACACGCACAAGACTCACCTCCCTCCTGACCAGATTCCGTTCTGAATCACACCCCATCTGTCATTCTGCGGCAGCATGTTGCGGAGGCCGGTATCCGCGGTAACAGCCGCCTCACTCACCCGCCACCCCTGCGGTCTTCCCCCACTCAGATATGTGCTGTGTGTCTGGAGGAGTTCAAGCAAAAGGACGAGCTGGGCATCTGTCCGTGCAAGCACGCCTTCCACAGGAAGTAAGTACCGGCCGGACGCTGTGACCGCTAACGGCTAATGCTAACAGGTCCCTGTTTATGGAGAGCGGGGTGGGGATGGAGGAGCAGAGACCGAGGCTATGGCCAGACGGAGGCCGACGCCCCCCCCCGGCCCTCCACACGCACGCACCGCCAGCCTCAGTTTCCGTTCTTGTGTGCTGACTTCCTGCCCGATGAAATTAGACATGTAGGTAGAAAGTGAGTTTCGTTTGTTTTGTTTTTTCATTTAAAAGGTTTTGTTTAGTTTTGTTGGGAAGTCCCTACAGTCACTGCCAGTGTGGGAAAGATCACTGCATCTGATCCTCAAAACCACAAGTCAGTCTGATCATAATTGTAACCATCAAACTGCAGCTACTGGCTTTGTAACTCTTTCCTCTCACATGTCCCAACACTTCCATGTTGTCACCAATCATTCTCCGTCATGGCGCCAATAATGAACCACTCAGTATCCCCTTTACCGCCTGACCCAGAACTTAACCCCCCCTCCTTCCCCTCCCCCACCGCCTTAGAAACACCAGCATGTCAAAAATAGTCTTGGCCCCTGTGAATTATTCACTGCCAAATAGTGGGATCTAGGCCAGGGTGTCACAGGCCACAGACATTTTGTTATTTGTGGGATAATCCAGTGACCACTGATAAATTAAAACCCTTAAAACTGCAATAAATTTGCTCCTCCCACCCTTGGGGGGAAGGCACACTTGCTGGAAGTTACAACTAATCATTGGAAAATACAGTTTTTTTTAGTAAGACTGACCCACCCCCTCCCAGGATAATATTAACATGCCATCTCTCACCCTATCAGGTGCCTCATCAAGTGGCTGGAGGTTCGGAAGGTTTGCCCCCTCTGCAACACGCCCGTCCTGCAGCTGGCCCAGCAACAGGGCCCCCCCGAGCCCCAGGGACCCCCACAGCAGCCTTTACCTGGCGTGGAGAACCTTGTGTAGCGCCCCCTACAGTACAGGTACACTCCTCTGTAGCAGAGGACAGGAAATCCCTCACTATGCAGCCGGCCACGACCTGTGAATCCCTCGCTAGCCCCTCCCTCCCGCTAGCCCCTCCTCCCCGCCTTGGCAGACTCCTCACGAATCACCTTTTCGTTTTCATTTTCCCGTTCCACGCGATGAATGATTTCACAGTTTCTTCAAGCAAAAGCCTGGACTGTTTCACAACCAAAGCACTTTGTTTTGTTTTTTTTGTTTTTTTTCTGGAGACACCAGCACAAGGAAGGACGATGAACAAAACAGTCAAATGAACGTCAACAGGAATGGCTGTTTTGTTTTGTTTGTCTGTTTTTTTGAAAGCAAGCACTTTAAGACACTAATCGCTTGTGAAGACTGTAATGAAATCACATTCTATTTTACTATAGTAATTAATTTTTTTTTAATCGTAGCTAGACGAGTACAGACGCACGTCCTTTTCGTTTTCTCTCTAAAAGGGACAAAGGCTTTTTCAAGGATGGCACCGAACAAGGACGTTGATGCTCATGGCGGCCTGCGAATGTCTCCTTTCCTTCATGGTCAAACCTCTGTCCCATTAACTCCCCTGGGCAATGTGAAGCCCCTCCCCTTGGCATCAGGTCCCAGTGGGTATCATCAGCTCTGCCTCTGACGTACGACCCCCGAGCTAAATGCCACCCAACTCTCCCTTCCCACCCCCCCGGCCACTTAATTCGCGTTTATGCAAACGGGTTTTTCAGCACCTGAGGCGTTCAGCCGGTTCCTCTCCGATATTAAGACTCAAGCCATCTTCTCGGTGGGAATCCTGCAGCTAGCTGACATTACAGCCCTTGTGCAGAAAGGACATCCATTCTCTTTTGCTCTTATTATTCTGGCACCCTTTATAGCAGAGTTATTCAAATCGCGGTCCTCAAGGTCCGAGCACTGCTGGTTTTCCAGCCTTCCTTTACCTGTCAGTCAGTTGTGAAGCCTCTGACCAATCAGAATCAGTAATTATTAAACTAATTAACTGGGAGAGCTGAAAACAAGGCCTGGATTTGGAATTGAGGTCCAGATTTGAAGAACCCTGCTTTATAGGAATTCAAATCCAGATCTTAACGCACACTCAAGTCCCTGTAAAAGGGAAACCGTCAAATTTCTACTTAAGCACTTTGAGATCTTAAACATAAATGGCTTTGCCAGGTGAAGGCATGGAGTCAAGGTTGCACTTCAGTTTTTTTTCCTTTTTTTGAAACAGTATTTAATGTAACAGGCAGGGTAATGATGAGCATTTCCGTCGGTTTTTCCACAACTTGTCAGAGCCCCTCTGATTCCACAAGGCTTTTGCCCTGCTGGTCGTGCTGCAGTTTGTGAGACGCGATAGTTGTGGGGCAGTCAGCAACGTCCTGCGCAAGCCAGCTATGAAGCGGGGAAACCAGATGTCCCATTGGCTGCAGGTGGGGCTCGGCCCAGCCAATCGCGAGCCGCGATTCATTACATAACCTTAAAAAAAAAAACAAACAACAACTGGACAGTGCCCAGCACATAAATGTTGTGCCGACACACTATGTTTGGAGTGCAGTGTTTTCAGCGTGGGCTGGGCCTCTCTGCTCTGGAGAGAGACTGCGCAGAATTGTAACGTTAATCAGCATAGCTTACGCCCCAATACTGCCACCCCAACTCACTGCCTGCGAGGTCATTCCCCAAATTTTGTGCGATTGCCAGCACAGAGTGGGGGGAAAACCTAGCACCCGGCCCCCAAGTTTCACATTTGCTCATCATCCCGAGCTGTGAAAATGGCACACACACACACACACACACACACACACAGATTGTGTCTACTACACTGCTTTCATTTTATTTGCTTGTACTGGGCCCAGCTCCCAGTCTGCTGGGTGGTGCAGTAGCCAACTTTATTGCTAAGCAGCTCCACCCCCCCACCCAGAAAGAATGAAGGCCTTATTCTGGATGTTTCTCCCCTCTCCATTCCCCCGCAGAATGTCCATTGTGTACATGCCGCCCCCCCCCCCCCCCCCCCCGAGCATCATGGGAAGTGGTCAGACAGCACTCCTCACCACACCCTACGTTTACCTTCCCCCACCAGAAAACCTGCACACACATACCCACCAGCAGAAAAACACGACAGTGATTGGTTACCTGCTACCCGGTCTGTCCAATCAGATGCATTACTTGCTGTCTTGATTATGCCCTGTCTAGTGTGTATGTCTAAGGAGTTAAGAAGTGAAGACGTAAAAGCTAACACACAAAATTTTACTTGGGGTGGCCCTTCTCATACATTATTCTTCATAAGTTGTTCTGGGTGCCTTGTGACTTAATTTTGAGACCAATTACCGTCACCTTGGGGAGGAAAAAGAACAGATTACAACACCATTGTAGCCGTCCTCTTTCTTCAATGGTTAAAATACCGAATAGTCCGTGAAAAGAACCGCATGTTGACAAATTACAGTAGCACCCCTTGTGCGGTTGGGGTCAGAACAAAAAAAGCGAATTTCTGAGTACTAGCTGTATGTGCTCTTTTACGCCTGAGCCGTAGGGAGCTGCCCACACGCAAGTCACAAGACCGACGCCAATACCAACCCACTTCCACATCCTGGAGTTCCAGGTGGAATCCCAACCCAGATCGTGCTGTGTTAATTTTCCACATACCCGACTAGGCTTTCTTTTTAATTAAGGCCTTAATTAGGTTTTAACAAATCCGCCAGGCCTACATCTATTAATACCTCTTACCTACACCAGGTTGAAGCTCATTCTTATGCGTACATGCTGTTTATCAGTATGATGATCTTTTTCAAAACGGCCAACCCATCTCCCGCGTAGAATATGCTACATCGAGCGGCTTCACCAAGATCCACGGAGCGGACGCGAGTCCGGTCATCTGGCGCGAGCTCACAGAACAGCAGGAGAGGATTGCCTGTGATGACGAAACTCAAGATGTGATCAGTCAAGTACTCTTAACTGCGTGTTTGTTTATGGAAATTTACAGTGTTATTGCTTAATTCCGATCTGTGTTGATGACGGGAGCTGCTGGTGGGGGAATCCATTTACTGAAGGGGAAGTTTTTCCTCAATACTTCCTGGCTGCCGTAGTGCTCTGAGCTGCTCACGACTTCAGTCGCTCTTACTGTAGTGGGATGCGAGGCTCAGGACTACCGAAAGGATGTTCAGTTGCCAAATCACGGTGGTCAGGAGTGGCGGGAGAGGTGAATCTTGGAGAAGTGGACGGCTCTCCTGTAATCACTCGATGGACGTACGTGTCAAGTTCACGTCAGCTCCTAGGATGAGAAGGAGAACTGTTAGCAAACCCGACAGACGACAAAGCTTCTTGTCAAGGGGTTAGACAGGGCCTCCAGCCTTGGGGGGGGGGGGACGTCAGACATCCCACATCCAGTTGGGACACTGGGAGGGGGCAGCGGTGACCACATCGGTTGGCCCTGCTCACCAGGACAAGCGTCAAGATGCTACCAGCAGAAAGCCTGTCAGTTAGCACTCGATTTCAAAACTATCATCAGTGTTCAGTTTTGTGTGTGCCTGTGTGTTTAATGATTTCTAGATTATTCAGTCCTGTTTGTTGGGGGGGGGGGGGGAGGGTGGGCGTTGTTGGCTCTTAAACTGAAGACGCACAGTCCCTATTTATTGAGTTTATCTGTGTTTGTGTCCGTCTTATCGTCCCTGCCGCCTCGCCGTGTCCCTGAAGGGTGTGGTATCACCCCCCCCACCCCCACCCCCACCCCACGCGGGAGCGGTAAGCTCCCACACTAACTGGGTTTGTGATTTTCACAGACGTGTTTGTAAACTAAGAATTCTGCAGCAGAATATTTTTGGAGACATTAGCTGTACAGTATTTGTAAGCTCTATTTTTGTATATTTTATTGCTTTTTTTTTGGGGAAAAAAAATGAAATGCTTTTGTTTTTGCTAATTTCTTGTTTTATTCGTTTAAAAAAAAAAAAAGTGCTGCATGTTATTGACTTGAACTGTAAATAAAAAAAATACCAATTTTGGAAGTAATATCATGTTGATTGTATGTCGACGTGTCCATCCCTGACTTATGTTTTACACATTTTCGTTACGCCTCAGAGCCCTGCGTACTGAACAACACGCAGCTTATAGTTTTGCCCATTATCAGCACCGTCCTCAGGAACGCCGCTCATGGGTCCCTCAGCCCTCAGGGCAAAATGGCTCCACCTGGGCTATGGGTCTGCGTCACCCCAATTGGCCTCCATAACTGCTCCTCTCTAAGGTTTGGTTCCACGACAGTGTGATGAGGGCCTACAGGGCTGCCAACTTTGGTCAGCTAGCTGGAGTGAGATGTTTGAGACAAGTCTGCACACGCATACACACGCATTTACATGTATGTAACCGTGTTACCACCTTGTAAATCGTCTGTAGGGTTTGCAAACTACCCCAGTGATTTTGGAGCAGCTAATTTTAAGTTAATGATGGAATAATACAGATTTGCTGTGAGATTTCTTGCACGAGCATGACAGTCTGAAAGCCTGGGTGTCATGCCAGATGCTGGGATTATCATACCATAAACACAGCATACAAGAAAGGAAAACTATCACGTGCTGTCAATGTCTGCCACTCCCAAGTTGCATAATATCTGGGAAGCCCATTAAAGAGCAGGAATTCCCCTTCCTCCCTGGATCAGAAGGAGGCTCGCTGGGGCTGGGGCTGGGGGCCATCTCACACAAAAGGGCGAATCAGTTGACTCCATGGGTATTTACAGTTTATTTTAATGACAGAGGCACTGAGAGGTAGGGGCTGACATTGACTTCTTTCGACTAAGTATACAAAATGACAATACTGTAGCCAATCTGTACGCTACAATACTTTAAATTATGCCTATGATTCGTGGATTTTCATCCAGTTCTGGAAACTACAAAAATTATAGCTGCGTCACATATGTGCATTTGGGAAAACCGTATTCCGCCTTTTTTTAGGATCGACATCAGTCACAGCCAATGAAAATAGAGGGTGCACCCGGTAGCCAATCCGATTTCGTGAGAGGGGCGGCGCTAAATCGGCACCCCGCATTTTCTTCTACCACTTGCTACAACCATGTTGATTTAAAGAATGAATTCGCTGGAAGTACTCATCTAAAAAGACACACATGAATGGTACAACTTCAAATTTCCCTGATATTCAATCAGATATTTTACTGGAAAGCTTATGTGAAATGCATCAGGCAGAACCCCTCCTCAGATTCCAGCCGGCAACTATGGGGTTAAAAGCCTGCGTCTGTAACCGCCAACAACCTTGTAGTCGAAATTTACATACTTGTATGCATACTACAAGACGCCAGGATTAACGTACATCTTCTGGTCCAGAAATAGTCGGTTTTGCTGGAGGTCTACTGCTGGAATGTAGATAAGACTATAAATAACCGAGAAACGCTGTTTGAACAATGTAGTGCAGTGCTGTGCATGTACACGCGAATGGAGCCTGCGTGGGTACAAAGGTTGTGTACCACACGGAGCAGCGGCATGTCAAAAAGACGGTGAAAGAAACGACTATGTCGCAGACGGCTTTCCGTGACACCACGTGGCATTAGTAAAGAAACGACGTTTACACAAAAATAAAGCGAGGATACAACATGGCGTGATTGTAAGGATTACAGCGCCTCCTGCTGGTCCGTACCTGATAGAACTCCCTTCATAAGCCTGTACGCTTAAGACAGCCGACAGCCAGCTATCACTGTCGGGCGATGTGGGCACACAGATTATGTTTACGCTGGAATTCACCCAAAACACCGATGTACTTATTAGACAAGGAGAACTCTGTAGCGACAATCAATGCCGGTCGTGAAGTACAGTTTCATGTCTGTGACACACTACAGGGGCTCCCCTTTGGAGCACAGATGGGATTCACCCAGATTTCAGCTTAATTTTTGGAATTCCCCTCTAGGGATCGAGCGCTCAGAGACCCAGTAACAATGTTCCTGAGCCCTCTCATGTCTGCCTCTGGTTGTATCTGTAACTACACGCCGTAAACACCAAGTTCAAAATGAAAAAAAAATCTCTACAAGCGGCCCTATCAAATTTCAAATATATCATTTATTACCTCTGACTACCATACAATAAAAACCACTGCGGTCCAAGAAGTTCCTCCCAAAAGTGTCCAACAAAGGGTCTTACCGGGTTGTGGGGCGGTGTGAACCGAGAGGGGCTTTCGTTTTTAGCTTTAAAACTTAAAAGCAGCGTCCGTCAAAAAGAGGGAATGTTCCATACCAGCCGGCAACCTTGCGGCTTCGTACTATCCGAACACGTTACTATGTTCAACTTATTCCCGCCCTGACTTTTGGAAATTTTGAAGCTGTTTAAACTATTTAGAAATACCAGTGGGGAAGTAACCCAGGCGGTTAAAAAAGTATTTTAAAACGCCGTGTCTGGTCCTGAAGATTAATTATCATGGAGTTTATTAATAAAAATCGCTTTAAACAGTTTTTAATAGCCGCCTCCACTTCCCCGAGGAATCGGCATGTTGATCTAAATTAGGG